TTTTGATATTGTTTAAGTCCTGGCATTAATGTAATAAAGAAATGGGCAAGGGTTAAACTAATTATGTGGGCATGGGAAACATGGGATTCCCTGAGCCACACAAATTTAACATCATGCATATACCTGGTGTATGAAAATTAATATTATCTTTAAAATTTTTACGCCAACAGAATCCCCTGCATGAGTAAGTATGCATGTTCTAACTTACTTCCTTTTATGTTCTCTAAACTATGAAAGCATTCTTGATAGATTATTTCGCATTTTCTTCTTTGACTATTTATGTTCCTTTTAATAGGTGCCTTTTCTCCGTGTAAAAGGAAATCTTTTGTCTCCTGTGTCTTTCCTGCACCTGTTCTCTTCAATGCCTGTCATGAGTTATATTACGATTTTTCAAGTTTGAAAGACACTCACTTGTCTGATGGCTGGCACGGGATACGGCAGCTTTTCTTCAATGTCATTCAAAACTACTGCCACTACATCCCGTCCTGCTACTGTGACATCAGTCCTCAGAAATTCAAGTATCTGTTTAAGTTACATGTCACATACTCAAAGTTAGACAATATGTTACCTCATTGCAATTCATTTCTGCAGTTAAGGTATCTAGTACGGAAAATGTTTCCTTTAGAATTTTGTCGTCAGAGGATTGAACATCTTTATCACTACATATAAACATGACTACTTGCTCCATCATTTCTTCAGAGTCACATCCCGCCTCATGTAGTAGCTACATACATAATTATAGCAGAAAAAAATTAAATCTAATTACCTCGTGTACACTTTGTACAACTAAGGCCCAGTTATTGAGGGACCTGCCCTTGAAGTGACTCATCAGCTTATTTTTCCAAACTGAAGTGTCATTTAGCTCGCCTCTCTTTCTAATGACAAAGCCGATTAAAGAAGACAAATTACCACTCTCTATCAAGTCATGTAAATGAGCTAGTTTTCCTTGCTGTTCCATAGAATGAGGACCAATGGAAGGCTTATGAAACTGTACAACACATGATCTGGATGATACTCTGCAAGAACGTTAAATTATATTTATTCTGCAGTTTCTACCTTTCGTCTGTGCTGATAGGGTAATTTGTTGAAATAAGGGGCATCGACAACAGAACCTTCCCTCCTCTTTTACATTTCCCAGCCTTCCCCTTATTGAAAACATCTACTATGACCTCATTGATATCAGCTCCCTTTGTGTGATCTCTTGGTGGGTCATCAATAGCAAATGGCAGAGTGCTTGATGTAGACCTCTCCAATACAAACGAATGGCTAAACCTTTCGTAAACTGATCTACTTCCTAGTCCTATAGATGTGAGGGAAAATCTTCAATTACCACTTATTTTTAACAAGACAAAGATATTTTCCTTAATGTTATTGATGTTTCATGTACTATAGTTTTTGCTTTTTTCTGATAAATAAATTTGAGTATTGATGTATTGCAATTTTACGACCTGGGGGCGAATGTCAACACTTACATTTCTTCTATACAGGTTTTATTGCAGAAAAATAATAAAAAAATTCATAAGCCTTAGCAACCACCCGCCCACTCTCCTTTACGTATGGGTGTGGTCACATTGACCATAGATATTAGAGTATATCTCGAGGTATATCTATGGATGCACACTGATGATGGGACATACTTATGCTTTCTAACAGCTAGAGAACGGAGATATACACTATAAAGACTTTTCTAGAAGCATTTTAAGGTAGAGAGAACCTTTATAAGTCTTAATCAATTCTGGGAAAATTTATTATTATGGAAGTCGTGGATATTGGTCCGGCCTATAGATCCGGCAGCGGCCCCTATATAGTATACTGGGGCTTCGCCCCAGTATACTAATACACTATTTTATATACAGATATCAAGTACAATCAGCAACGTTGATGCAGTTGGGTCTTGGTGGTGTAGTGGAGAGGCTGGTGTGGACTGCACGGATGTGGTCAGTGGTTCCGGTCGGGACTACTAACTAAAACTATGCTGCAATGTTTGATTTTTTTTAATCACTTTTTTGCTATTTTTTTCTTTTTTGGCATTTTTAGGTGAAGAAATAAACACCC